CTATTTATGCCATTATTTGATAACACGTCCATGATATCGTCTGCCATCTTAGCTAGTTCTTCAAGGTCTGTCATCCTAGAAGATACTGTTAGGATTTGTTCGACGTTTTGTGGTAAACGTTGTAAGAACATCTGACGTAGAATTAAGTCATCTACTTTGTGTGATCCAATAAACTGGCGCATATGTCTAAGTAGTTGGGATGGCTTTTTGTACCTAGATCACACGAAGTAAGCAGTTGTTGTATGCGTTTTTCATCGGAGAGGGTGGTCCGCTGGATAAGTGCAGCTTTTAGTTTGTCATATTGAGAGTCTGTAGGCTTGCTGTCTATGACGTCGATGACCTCTCGTAGTACTTCCGTGGGTATTGCTGCTAATACGCAACCATACATGGCAATCTGCGACGTAATACCTCGAGCTGCAAACAACTGTTCAATGATTGTGAACCAGACACGTGGTTCAGCCAGATCAAATTGAGGTAGTCTTAAGTCCGGTAAGGCGTTATTAGAAGAGTTCTGTGTCTCTTCGCCTTTATTACCTTCTTCAGCAACAGTGGAACGTTTAGGTGGAGCCATTGTCAAAAAATATTTAAGTATAGAGATATACAAAATAGCAAAACGTATGGTAACAAAAATTAAGCAATGCGAGATTATAAGGTCAAAATAGCAACAAAAATGTTCAAAACGAGTTAACTATCGCAAAAATGTTCAAAAAGAAACGGTTAACCATCGAAGAAAAAAAATGTTCGAAGCGGGCTCACCAATTTTTGTGGTGGACCTTTTGCTCTGTTAGCTTATTTACCCAAAATTCAAATAGAAAACAAAATACCAAATCAATTGAGTTTACAAAGATCCAAATTCCACAAGAAACGTACTGGATTCCAGAAGTGCTGCGGGAAGACTGCTCCAGTTCTAATTCTCCAGTGTTGACGTTGCCGGAGGTCGACCAAAGTGCGTAGGAAGAGGCTACGGTGCTCCTGCAAAAATTCGAGATAGAAAGCAGGTTGTTATAATTGATCGATGGCAGTTGAGATGGTTGAGAAGACGGAGAGTCGAAGGCAGAATTATGTATATTTTTTAAAACTCGAGGGATGTTCAAAGTACAGAGCTTTTGGTTAAAACAAAGTAGTGTACAATATGTTCATTTTTTACATAATAGTAAAATTTGGATAAGTTTATTTTTGAGGACTCCATAGAAGTATCAATTTATGATACTTCAGGATAACATTACTGATCGTGCCCGTAAAAATGGCTTGCATTTCTTGTAAAATTACCCGTTTATACGAAATAAAATTTATTATTATTATAACCAGTCACAGCAGACTTGGCGTGGTCGAATACGATTTGCAGATATATGTTCTGATCTTCAAAGATATGGCCACAAACAGATGACAGAATAGCTTTCAGCGAGAAGACAAACAATCAGAAGACACTGTTTCTCTGCTTACAATAACGAATAATAATGTACATAAAGACCTATAAATATCTGATTTTCTCAATAAAGTATCTGATGCCTGACTCTTGTCTTCTATCATTACACTATGAGCACGGAATGTATCTCACCTGGGAGGCAGAGTTTCACACGATAGCTAACCAATTGTGCCCATCAGTGAGAAAGGTGACCAACGGAATATCATGAAAAGCAATTTAATAGCATATGCTACTCCTGGTCCTCATAAACAACATAATTAACAAGTAAAGCTAATCTTCACTTTTATACGCAGATGATGTGAAGCTATAGAAGCTGGTAAGGGATAGAGGATTCGACTAAGCTTCAGGAAGATCTGTCCTAATTTGAAAGTTCAACAGCGGTATATGTACTAGCCTTCAACGTTAACAAATGTCGAATAATTTTCATTCGTACACAAAAGCATCAAGGGTTCGTATGGCGTATTTGTTGAACCCATCTGTCCCAAGCTGAGGCGGACTGTGTTATAAGGCTACTCCCGACGGATAATCGGTACAGCCGCTAACTATGCGGGAGAGGTAGCCAAAGGTAAGCAGTCGACTAGGAGCTCCTGCTCTCGGGCCACTAATTAAACTGCATAAGACTTACGCTCAGCTACATCCACAAGTTCACAACGTCACTGTACCGCTACTACTAAGAAGGGACATTCTCCTCCCAGAAGGTGTAAAAAGATGGCTTTAAAGCTTATAGACTGAACTGTCTTAAGGATGACCATGGATTACGACAGTTGGATATGTGGAGCTACTACTGCGGAACGAGGAGCGAACCCATCACGGAATACGAAACAGTGTATCCAATCTGAGAAATATTGCCAGAAGATTATTATATTATTCTTCAGGGTCGCCCTGACAAATTGTTCATCAAGAGATAGTGACAAAATAAGGACTAATTTCTTTTCCTACAGGTTCTGCCACCCATTGAGGTCACTACCGGGCGATGTGGTAACCACCCCATGAGTCGATTGCTTCAATAGAAGACAGAACCATAACGCAAAAACAATAGGTTTACATGCAACTGTATTGGGAAGTAGCCTAATTATCAAGGACCGTGATGGTACTACACATACCATGCTTAACTATTTTATTGTTATGCTTGCTACTATTTCTATCACTGCTAGTGTCGTTGTGTCCTTTTTGTTACATAACTGTTAGGTGGGCATTCACTCCAGCCGTCATGTTTGTCCTACACATGATCCACTCGCCGTGCCTTACATTTGCTTGATCTACGCACTATTTGGTTTCTCAAGGCTGTTCGTCAACACGACCAGAAGACTGTACTTCAAGACGAAACTTAAAAGTCATAGAAATGCCGCAAATCAGGAATTCCGCCCAAAGTTAGTTCTTCTTATGTTCAGCAAAGCTGCACCACTCGCAAAGATTAAATGTACTGAAATCCACGGAATATCTTAAGATAACCCAAAGCAACGAGAAGCCAGAGCCAAAAAGCTGTAAAGTCTATACCAGCTCGTCAAAAGGTTATTGGACATTGAATTGTTGCTATCTTCCACTTGTATGTTTTTCGAATTTGACCTTGAAATTGCAATAAGTAAGGTGTTTTTCGTGTAGAGATAATTAGAGTTATTTTCTCTATGAAGTGCATAATCCTTATTTTTAATCTTGTGTCATTATTAGAAGCTCAATTAGTTTTAAATGTACTCGCTTTTCAGGATCAAATTCTGTAATGAGTTTTATCATATAAAAACCATGGTGTTTCATTGCTACAAATTATTGCGACATATTACATGTTAACAGTCACGCAGGAAATTGGTTTATTTTTCTGGAATATGTATTGTTTTTTGGGATTCTATCTGCAACAGCATGTAAGATATAATCTAAACAACAGTAAACATTGGTCATGAAAAATGTATTCTGTTGCTTAATTCATGTATGCTTCCGAATTTTCATATGGTCTTTTTCAGTAAGCTGTTGAGGTACAAAATCTATTTCCAGAATTTCTATGGTATTTTGTTAGCACCCTGAGCAAATCTTATGCTCATACATGGTACAGACATACATATGACACTTACCAAGCTTTAGATTATACTATGATTGCTGATAGTGATATGTTTCGTAGTATATATATTGCACCTTATGAAACATATGAGAATATTAATACAATATACCAGTTCTTAATTTCGTAGACTTTGTTGGAGTGTCATGAGTCACATTCTGCTTCGAAACACGTATTACTGGGATAGTGTATTACGACTGCGATATCTGCAAGTTATGTGACTTAGGCAATTTAGTTCATTTATTTCCTCATTTATCGTTGCAGATTATAAACAAATAAAACCGTTTGTTGTGATTCGTAATCATCACTATACATATAGGGTGCTGAACTTTTAAATATTCAATAATTAAAGAAAATAAAAGATCCTTTGTATCCCCAAGAATTGTGTGAGGAATAATTTTAACCTTATGTACTAGTGTTTCGGGAAAGTAATATGTTAATAGGACTAAATTCTATTTTTATTTGAATAACTGATTAGTACATCAGCGTAGAACTTTGCACACTATATCACTTCAAGCTGCTACATTACGACAAGATACTCAAGGTAAGGAATTAGATACAGAATTACACCACGAGAGATAAACTTAGTTGCAGTGTATGGAATAATCGAAGGAAAACTGATGAAGACATTCAAATCCCATATTAATAGGTTTGTTCGTTATATCACACAGTGAAATAGTATTATTCACTGGATGACGTTTCAAACACATAATCAAATGAGTTTTAACTAATCGTATTCTTAGAATAATGATAACTGTTTACGTATAAGAGGGGTATAGGTAAAGCAGCAATTATCACTTATGAGCGACAGTTTTGTGATATTGTACCATTTTATTTTTAAAATTTTAAATAAATAAAGTTTCTCTATTCACAGACATTTCAAGGTAGAGTGTTGGGCAAAACTTCGTTAGCTCACGTTTTTGTATTGTTAAACATACCATTATATCAAAAGGCCACTATTCGTATAAACAGAGATAGATAATGTTTTTCCTATCAGAAAATAGAGTTCAAAGGTCACTTAATTCCAACCCAGTAGTTGTATTGGCTTCATAACCTATAGGTTTCGATGCCTGATGGGATCACAGCTTTGCACTGATGAAGAGTCCTAGACCAGAATAGGCCGGCTGTTCAGAAATCCTTGATATTTAAAGATTCACTAGACTTAAGAAACATGTATTAAAATGTGTTCGGGAGTAGATGACTTCGCATTTTTCTACCATGGGAATTCATCTTGTTGTTAGAAGGTTTTAATTACCGTTTCATGATAAATGTTTTTTTCAATACGGTGATTTGTCCAAGAATATTTTGAATGATTCGTTTCTCTTTTCGGTCTTTTACACTTTACAGGTTTATCTTGAGAGTGTGACATCATGTAATGCATACAGAATACTAGAAATAAATTTATCGAAAAATATTAATTTTCTATTTCCTACAAATGCATCAGTATAGTAACATCTTTTCCTATCAGATTTCATTTACATACTTTTTCATCAAGATAATTAAACAAAACGTAAGTCTAATAAACTGATGACATTACAAAAAGGTAAACCAATGTACACAGGAGCTAGTCTAAATAAAAATACACTTACACAAGAACAATTCACTCGTGAATTAGCTACGCGTTTAGAACAATTATCACTGCAGTGTAATACTCTTCATGTTAATGATGAATATTCGGATAGTTCATTTTCTCCACCGTCTATAACATGGCCTAAAAAAGTATGCACAAATCACACTAATAAATCCTGTTCACATATTCACACTGATTCGGATAAAATTAACAATGAGAGAAAGAACCAACAACAAAAACAACCACCACAAAAACAGGTCCTTCAAACGAAATCCTCCCCCCGAAACATAAGGATACATAAAACAGTACAAGTTCATTCAGAAAGTAATCAGAAAGAAGCATCAGATTGTACACAACAGAAAAAGGAAGAGAACTTCAAATATAATCAAACTATGAATACAACAACTAATTCTTTTTCAGCTACATGCCATGACATAAACTACTCACCTGATAAATATATACCGAAGAAATCTTTTCCAGATAGTATTCGTAAACAATGTCGGACTTATTCTGAGGATTTGTTAAAATCTAATAATGCATCTAGTAATCATTATCAAAAGAAGGAACAATGTAACAGTGCAGCAGATATTAAACAAAAGCATCTAAATGATAAATTTATTGAGCAGAATAAGCAAATCAATGATCAATTGTCTGATCATAGTGAAGTCGACCATGAAATGGAATGTCTAGAAGATGATAATTTAATTATTGATGATAATGTAAGTTTATAAAACTTACTTTTCCGTGACATATAAGTTGACAATTTTTCGATCACAACAAGTGTACTGTTTAGGAGGCTTTTTCAGTGAATATTTGTAGACTTTAATAGCTCTTTTTTATGTTAATTTCGCGTTGACTGATTATATGGTACCGAAATGTTTGGTATCAGTTGACGATAACAGCACCCCCCTAGCGTGAACTCTTCAACGTTCTCTGAGGATTATTTTTTGATGTTATTTAGCGGATGGTGACTAGCGGTAGAGTCCACGATGCATGTTTTGTCCCAACTGAGACTCGTCACCTGGATGCACCTGTAGTCCACAGTGAGTGATACTTTTCCCACTGAGACTTAAAACCATCTCTCATCGTTTCGAATTCAGAAGCGTTATCGAGAAGAGTATTTAGGTCACGAAATTTATAGGATTCCACTACTAGTGACCATCTACTAAATATCTGTAATAACTCTTTATGGTGAATGCTCAAAAGTAACCATCACAAGACAATATGCCCTAGGTTTATAGTTTATTTAATCCTAATTAGAAGGAGAAAGATTTCAGATGTATTAAAGAATGAATATAATACGTGATTCGGGATTTTGTTGACCATACATAAAATCTACTTAGAATTCATATAAGGTCTTGGTTGTACGCATCGTGAATATTGTGCCTTATTACTAAACTTAGATGATGGTACCCTCTTCTGGCACAATTTGCAGACTACAGTTATAATATATCATAATAAGTAGCTTTTTGTACTAATCTTTACAGTTGAATTTAATTACTGCATTGATCAATCTTTTTTTTTGGTATATGTATATGTGGATAAGAGCCTTGCTTTCATGTTCTTCTCCACGAAAGATGAGATGATGAGAGCTCTTTTACTACTGATAGGTCCCCAACTGTAGAAGTCTGTCAGTTGGCCATTCCATAGAAAACCAACCATGGACCTAGTTTGATATGCTTCCTTAGCCTTCGGTTATTTGTTTTGTTCGCTGTGTGTGTGTGTGTGTATTTTTCCCTCTTTGTCTTCATTCAAATCATCCTATTTTTTCAGTTATAAGAACAGTTATTTTAAGTTTTTTTCCATGCTCCTCCTGCTCACACTTGTAATTCGTTTAGAATAACTATTTTACAGTTATATCTATTCCTGAATTATTTTTGTTTCTAAGCGTCTCGTAATCCATATCAAGTTGAAAATAATTGTCACCTTTTATCCGCCTTCGAAATGCATGTAGGATTAAATAATAATTGTATCTATGCATGTATTTATGTATTTAAAAGCGTTTTATAGCTTTTGAAAATGAAATGGCCGAAAAGATGTCGTTGTTGAACTTCTTGTCCTTTTCTCTCTAACGTCCTGATAGGTATTTTCCAAGTTATGTGGATAAGTTTTCAGCGTTACTGTGCTACTGTGGCCTACATAATATGTGACTGCTGGAAGTTGGATTTTAAATGAAATCTAGTTTAACAAAGACGATGTCACTGTACTTAGAACACAGGATATAGATAAATTTTTCAAACACATCAACTCGAAGGTTGAAGCAATTCAATTCACTTATGAATTGGAAAATCAGGAAGGGGAGCTCCCAATGTTAGATTGTAGGGTAAAAAGGAAAGAAGATGGGAAGTTAAACACTAGTGTTTACAGGAAACCCACACATTCAAATAGATATTTAGACTTCCGATCATCCCATCCTGTGTCAGTAAAAATAGGATTGGTGAAATGTTTAAATGACAGAGCACAAAAACTAAGTAGTATCAAGGAAAATCTAAAACAGGAACTGACACACATAAAAGAAGCCTTGAAACTTAATAATTACCCGGATAAATTAATCAGGAAATATGTAAGGAAATGTAAAAATAAATAATGATAGTAGCGATAGTGATAATAACAATAATAATGATAACGTTAATAATGAAAATAATAATAGTGATAATAATAATATTAATGACGACACCAACAATAAGGAATCTAAATCATCAGTAGTAATTCCATACAAGGAAGGAACCTCGGAAGCCTTACGCAGAATTCTTAACAAGGCAGGAATAAAAACGGCATTCAAACCCACAAACTCAATTAGAAACAAGCTTTGTCGGTTAAAGGATCCTGTAGAGCCTTTGAAACAAAACAATTTAGTTTATCTAATACCCTGCTGGAATGATTGTCAGGTCAAATAGATAGGTCAAACTAGCAGAACATAAAAACCTAGCAAAATCTAGATTAGTTGACCCGAATAAGATAAGAAATCTAGAGAATAGCTCAGCTATAGCACTCACTACATGCAGTTACACACAACCATACAATAGGATGGGATAGGATGACAGTTTTAAAATCTAATGTCACAGAGTGGAAGGAGAGATTGATAACAGAAGCTTTGTTTATCGAATCAACTGCAAATACCTATAACAGGAATGATTCATCACCTGTCCCAGATACCTGGAAAATTCTACTACCCCTACGACAAATAGAAGAAAACAAAGAAAACTATAAAACTCAAGTGTCAAAGTCGTGTGATTACAATTGATATGATTATGAACAATAAATTGTGTTCGAAACGTCATCCAGTAAATAATAATACTGTTTCACTGTGTGATATATCTAATAAACAAACTAATATGGAATTACTTACTACCACAGTGCCCAAGTTTTACACATATATTAACAAAGACGATGGTTTCGTAGTATGATACTACTGACAAATCACCAAATAAGTGATCTGAATAAATTCCTATTGCATTAACTTTACGTTTGTAAATAATAAAAAAGAACATCCGAAGTGTACAAACTGATAGTTGGATAGTAGTCTATTCCTAGGTGTTGAGGATTAGAGAGGTTTCGTGTGCATTTCGGATTGTGAGGGCGATTGTTACTTCCCGGCTGCCCACACCGTGGAAATTGGTTGCGTGACCGCAGAGCCCAGGGGACAACTGCTTGAGGCCGGTCACACGCGGCCTGTTTTTGTTTGTTCGTTTTCATTTGGTGTGTCTCAGTAGCATATTTATCACTTCTGCCCTGTGACATGGCAGCAGGAAGCGCGGTCGTTGTTAATCCGGGCCTCGACCGATCCGGCATGATATTTTGTGATTTACTTTGAGTCATAGCATTGGGTTGGGTAACTGCTGTTGTCTAACCGCTATCCAAACAACCTTTCTGGCATGGTAGGACCTCAAGCGACATAAGTTTCAGCCAGTATAGCTTGTTGGGTCATTGCGGTGTTCAAGCCCGACCACCACGTCAACGTAACAGCTTTCGGTCGGGTAAGTAATGTTGACGTTAGGCGTAGAGTGTTGAGCAAAGAGGGAAAATCAATGGAAGAGGCTATAAAGTTACATAGATTGAGATGGCTAGGTCACTTGCTGCGCATGCCTAACCATCGCCTCCCCCGACGGGCATTACTAGCTGACATAGGTGCAGGTTGGGAATGAGTAAGTGGTGGCCAAACAAAAACATGGCATCAATCCATGAAATCCTTGACAGTTAAACGGAGTCAGGTAGGGAGATCCAGACTTCCGGGTTGGGGCCCTCGGGACTCTAAGAATCAATGGCTGGAGTCAATAGGTGACATGGCTCAAAATCGTTGTCAATGGCGCAGATGTATTCAGTCTCTGTAATCTTTCATATTCCTTTCCACCATTACTCATTCTGTTTCACTCTTATACTTGTCAAAAATCCATTGATTCTCTTCACTCATTTTCTTGTCTATCTTTGTGTGCTATTTGGAACGTGGCAACTCGAACTGCTGCACTTCGGTGCCAAGTTCTATGTTGAATCCAGCCAGCCAGCCAGCCTAGGTGTTGATTAAAATGTATTGGTCAAGTATGCGTTACTGTTACTAAGTTAAATTAATCTGATACTTATATAAACTGTAGAGCTCTTTAACTGAACCTTTAGGTGTGAAGAGTTGATCATTAGGAATTTTTTTAAAAGTGTATATTAGCACCCAAAAACCAAATTTTTTTTATTATTATATTATTATTGTTCCCTTGGGTTCCTAGTGGAACATAGGGCTTCAACTGCACATCTCCACTTGCTTCTGTCTTCTGCTGTACTTTTCACCTACATCCATGTCAGTCCATACTGTTTCAACTCCTCTTCACACGATCTCCTCCATGTCACCCTTGGACGTCACACTCGCCGCTTCCCTTCCGGGTTCCACTCGAGCTATGGCCTGACGCGCGGTGTCACCCAGCGGCCTCCTCAGTGAGTGTCCAATCCATCTTCACTTTCTCCTGCATATTTGTTGGGCGATCGGTTCTTGTTTTGTTTGTTCCCATAGTTTCTTGTTGGTGATTCTTTCCGGCCATTTGATCTTCAGTATAGGGCCAGCGAAGACAGTTGTCGATAAAGGTCTGCAACCTGTTGGAAATATTCTGATTTTATAATAAATACTTATTTCACAGAATATTGATCTGTTGAACCTATCACTGCAATTTGTAGGTCTTTATAGTATTTATCCTTTTTCTAGTCTACAACAGATATATCTGATTCTGAAGTATCATGTACAAGGAGACTGAGTAATTTGCCGGATGAAATTCTACCACCTGTTATAACATCTTTGTTTCCAAACACACCATCTGTATTGCGTTTTGCTGATGCTGGACAGGTTGGTAAGTAAATCTGCACAATTTATTTATTTATTTAATATATTTTATTTCATTTTGTAAGTTTTAATTGCTACGTATATATTGAACTAATGAAAAAAATATAATTCATTTAACCATGTTACTCTGCTCATGATCATTTGAAGTATTATGAAACCGTAAATCTATTTCGTATGTTGAATTATCCAGTATTGAAAATAGCCTCACAGCAAGGACTGTAAACAGCGGTGGGTAAGAAAAACCCCAAAAGAATGAAAGAAATGCCTAAGAGGTATTTGTCCTCCTTAGGAAAAAAGGTTGCGAAAAATTTAGAGTAAGCGAAATGAATTCTCAGAAAGACTGAAATTCACTTACTTCTCAGGAGAGATGTCTGAAACGACGAAGGCAACATTTTTAGGACTATGACTGCCCACCAGTGCTGAGTTCTAAGGCATAAAATCTGCTGGGTAATTAAATTCCAGTGGATATTCCAGTATGTGCTGTCAGAATGAACGGATCCGATGGAAGAAGGAAATATAGTGATACCTGTTAGTGCGTCTTCATAATCTTCACCTGAGTACTAACAGACTGCAGGCCGGAAGAAGCGAAGAATGATTGTCATTGAAAGTTGTCTAGCTCGCATCTAAAAGATAGACATTCAGATATAATCATGTCAGTAGGTGGTCTCAGTACTTAAGCAGAAAAATTTTACCAGTCAGGAAAGTATATCTGGGACGCCTATCACGTCCCATATGGACGAACCGACAACGATGGTCATCGTTTACAGTTCTGTCCTAGTCAGTACTAACTGCAAACATACGGCAGATATTGCCTCACTCAGCGACCTCCAGCATTAAATCAACTATGGGACAAATAGATAACTTGGCTGTAAGTATGGTATGTGCTTTGCACCGTCTAAGTGCAAAGGACTGTTACAAGATTGGCAGGAGCCTGTACCTGCACTCACTCTTGCGGGTGAACCGCTTGAAGTTGTTGATAAGTTTGTGTACCTGGGTAGTTGTGTGAGTGCTGGCGGAGGGGTGACGGATGAGATTTCCAACCGTATAATGAAGGCTAGGGTGGCATACATCAACTTGTGCCACCTCTGGCGCCGTCACGACGTTAGCCTGGCTGTCAAAGGTCGGGTATACAATGCTTCGGTATGGGCTGCCTTGCTCTACGCCTGTGAAACCTGGCCTCTCCGAGCTGAGGATGTGCGGCGACTCTGCGTGTTCGATCATCGTTGTCTCCGCAGGATTGCTTGCGTTCGATGGCATCATCGCGTGAGTAATTCTGAGGTTCGGCGGCGTGTGTTTGAACACAGTGGAGATCACCATTCATTGAGTGTCGTCATCTGGAAACACCAGCTCTGGTGGCTTGGACATGTGCTGCGAATGTCATCCCAGAGGCTTCCGTACAGGTCTCTGTTCGCTAGCCCTGGGACGGGATGGAAAAGGCTGAGGGGTGGTCAGTCCATGATGTAGCGTCGTGGGATGAAGGATATTTGTGCTAGATTAGCATCGGTTGGTGTGTCACGACTCCCTGGTTGGAGTCCGCGAGACAGCTCGAATCGATGGCTCGAAACGTTATCGGATATGGCCAAGAATCGTAATCAATGGCGAACGTGTTGCAATTTCCTTCTTTCTTCCCTTCCTGATGATAGTTAACTAATATTGTTTGAACTTGTTAAACATGACTGTTTTCCTTCCTGATGAAGTTCTTTATTCGTTTTCTACCTATATTTTTACTTTTAATCTATGTTGTTTTATTATTATTGTGTGGAGCATCTTTCTTGTATTGTACCAAGTTTTTTCTGCGTTTAAATAAATAAATAAAGCTATTGATGAAGAGGGTTGGTTAAAAATTGCCACTCCTTCTGAAACACCTCCGTAAATTCCGATTACATTCTGACCTTGGCGCATGTATGCCAATGACTATGTGAAAATAGGGAACAGATATCTATGAAGTAAATAAGCCTCCAGCTTGGTGACAACACAAGGACAGAAATAAATGTAGCTTACGAATAGTTGTCTGAAGTAGTGGTAACTAGTGTTGTTCATCAGGAATGCTCAGTGTAATCGTTCTTATTCATTTCCATTGAAGTTATATTGGTGAATTTGGTTATGCTTGATGTTGACCCTTCCTGAATTGACTTGTCATCAAATGAAGAAGTGATTCATTTAGTGTGTGGATATAGCATTGTCCCCTCAAGTGAATACGCACAGGAAACAAAAAGTCTTTTGAACACCCTCAGTGGAGACTTTATGATATGTGATTCGCTATCGGGAAATACAAAATAATGCTGCAAAACTGTTCTTTAGTGATTCCTAGTTTCAGGACAGTTACTGCGACGACTTAGTGTATTAACCAGTTCAATTTCATTTCGTATATTATTTATTTTCACAGTAACTCGATGTAATTCTTCTCTTAGACATAATCTACTGACATTTTCAGCAGCTGATGTTATTTTGCTTGCAGTAATTGGAGTATATAGACGTAAATATTTCGGAATTATATGATTTTTTAAACATCGACTGTTAAAAATCCGGTGATTTGTGAATCTTACTTCAGTTTGACAGAGTCGTGTGAGTTTCTTGATAAGCTTCCTAGTAGGAAGACCATATGTATCATTGAAATAAGAATAAAACTTGTGCACTGTGGTAGAGCGTAATTCTATTATGGGTAAATTTTGTTTTGATAAAGTCTCACAGTGTTATACAGTAATGTTTACTGATGACGTTTCGAGCACAACACTGTGAGACTTTATCGAAACAAAATTCACCCATAATGGAAGCATTAACCAGTTCACTTGTTTGGGGAAATGCAGGAATGCGAGGGGACAGTTTATTGACAAAATTTCAGCAGTAATGCTAAAGTCTTGTTTAACATTGGTGAAGTTGCATGGTGTCTAATGCATGTGTGATTTATGGTTGGACATGGATCATTAATGTGGAAGTGAACGTCATTCGATTTAGGTGACTGTAACATGCGTTACCACTGCTGAGCTTTGATCATTCTCCGCTAGTGACATTAGCTGATATTACATCAAGTTGGTGATGAGTTAGGGGTAGTTGAACCAAAGAAAGGCATTTATCCGTAAGGACTTTAACTGTTGAGACCATCAAGCTGTTAAAATTCAAAGTTTGGAGACTGTAGGCGTAACGGTTGAAAATTGCTGTTATTTGTATTCCTGAGAAATCCGGAAACTTGGACTGATATATTTTTGTGCATTGTTATACACTGAAAATTCATCTAACTGATCAGTCTTTTAGTATTTACTGTTTTAACACTTGCTCATCAGATTATAGACCGATTATTGCTAGATGTATTTTGTCTTGTTTTTCAAACTACGGAAATGCTTTTAGTTTGCCTACTTAAACGTGAGTTATTTGTTCAAAGTAATTATTCAAACTATAAGTCTGCTGTGGACAAGTGATAAAGTGTCAGTCTGTCAAAATAATTTGTATTATTTAATTCTATCAGTATTTTTGAAACAGATCTTTTTCCTTTTGACAAATTTAAACAAAACATTTAGGAGACAGGTATTTTAAGATAACATTATTGATTTTAGGATCTAAACATTTGCTTTACACCTGACGTAGTTTACAACAGTGAAATGATTTTACAATATTTTAGTTATGTTTTGTAAAAGGATATAAAAGTGCCCTGTCATAGTTTAGCCGATCGAACAGTTAGGAACAGACAGGGTTTGAAATCTATGGTTTTTGCTTGTAGCATATAAGGGACTGTAATAGAAACTAGGTCTAATACAAAATAGCTTGATATAGTTGTATCCTCTAAACCTACTTGGTCATCCCATATTTTATCGATCTCCAAGAAGCTAAAACAATCTGAAATCAGCCAACCACTGCTTTTACAATTCGTTAACTCATGCATCTTACCTATTATACTTTACTGTCCCCCCTGAGTCTTTCCTGGATCACTGAAAAAGGACTATTTTATTTTGAGAAGGGTATTAAAGGTTGTCAGTAGGGCAAGTGGTGTGCAACTTAGCCAGCTTGCCACTACATTAGTTGACAAACACTTAAACTCATGCGAGGAATGGTCTAAATCTATATTGTCTGACCCTCAACACCTCCTCTATTCGCAACTCTCCCCTTGTATCTCACATGGTAGAACTAGAAGTCAGTATAAAAGATTATATGCTCGTGCTACTAAGTATAGGAACTCAGAGATACCATATTTGACCAGCCCGTGTTCTATGCGACAGAGACAATATAAAGAGTGAGACTTATGAGTTACTATGTTGTTAGCTGAATAATTAGCCCTTTTATTATCTCCTATTTGTAATCTATAGTAACACTACCTCAAGCAACTGACAATCTTAGCTACTAACCTTATTATTTATAGTTTTTTGAATATATATATATATAACTCGATAAAATTAGATGCAATATTGTACCAAATGCTGAAAATTCCACACTGCAACATCAGTAACATTTTGGAATAAAGCAAACTATTATTATTATGAGTGTGATTCATCTAGAGTGTTTGCATAACCTTTAATGAACTTGATTTAGAACTATCTGAAAGCGTAACAAAAGAGGCATCAATGTTCACTTTCTTAGTAAAAATATGGGAATAAGTTTCTTCAGTCCTTGCGTTCTGAGCGGAACATAGGACTCCAAGCTCTTTTTGAAGTTTCATCAGTGGTAGAGTTGTTTTCACAAAGTGGGTTTGTTAGCGTGCCGCCCGACTCTTCTTCTTTTCTGGGATTACTGCCAGCTAGTAAACTGGGTATGGTTTAGGAGTAAGTCAGCCGAAAATAAATGATCCCTAATTAAATACATTCGATTAATCAACTACTGCGAAGTATTTTCATTCAAATATTATAGTAACATTCTATTATCTCTACCTATATATACATTCTGAAAACTGTTTTTCAACTTGTAAGGAGAATGCTACAGTGAGTAGAATTCGTTCTATAATTGAATGTAACAGAAGAAGAAAAGGTCCGTCAGTTTAGGGAAAGAGAAGTAGCTTAGAAATTGTATTTGACAGATGGG